AATATTTTCTTTGTRTTATTTCAAGTTATAATAACAATTAAATTAATAAACTGTATAAATCAAAGTCTAAATAAATAATTTTATAATTAATATTTATATATAGCGGTAAARTACAGTGTATTTTTTTTATAATATATTAATTGTGTTATCATTTAATTATCCGAGTATTTACCCCCTCCCCYCCCTAAATAATTTACACAAAAAATTGAAATAATAATATGCMTACATTTTTTTCACTAATAATATTATTTTCATTATTATGGATATATATATATATATATATATATATATATATATATATATATATATATATATCAATAGTTATGTAATTTTTAAATAARTTGATTGTTAAAAAAATATAAATATTTTTTTGTTTCGTAAATAAAAACATACATTTCCGACACAAATAGTTATTTTAAAAAAAAATTTTAACAACAAATCGTTTAATCGTTTACTGTATTAAACTCTTAAACACAACTCCCAAAAAAAATAAAATTTAATTTATAGGGATTTTTTTGGTATTTAAAAGCCATTAGATTTTCAGATTATACTATATATATAAAAAAACTAACTATTTTTTGGTTTCAGTGAAAAAAAAATTTTAACAACAAAAAAAACTCATGTTTTACTATTCAAAATAAACTTAAATATATAAATAGTCTTAAAACGTAACAAAAAAAAACTTTTTTTGTAACAATAAAATAGAGAAAGATTTCTCCTATGATTTTACTCATGAAATCTGATACTTAATACCAAAACAATATATTATATACAATATATATATATATATATATATATAACAACATAACAATACAATTGTGTGATGTATTATAATATACAGTATAAAAAACGGAGTAATTTGTTGTGTATGTGTCTCACAGTATTTGTATATAATATTGAATTATTTGACACAATGTTTTCAATTTTGATTTTTTTTGTTGGATAAAATTCAAGAGTACAATGAAAATAACAGCAACAAAATATCTTAAAGAGAGAGAGAGAGAGAGATTATATAAAACTCTTAACATATATTTTTTTGGTGCTAAATATTGCAAACATATTATTATTATTATTTGTATTATTATTATTAAATATTATTATCAATACAATAGATAGTTTTGTGTATGTTTGTATTAAGACTTATCTCAATATATTATATGATATTATATATATTTTTTAAATAATATATATATCCATAATCTCTATATTATATTATTAATGTGTGTCATCTCACTGTCTGCATGCATGTCCTCTCTTTCTCTCTCTCTCTCTCTCTCTCTTTCGTTTTGTAATGTGATTTGCGACTATACAGTACTATCTGACTAATGGGATCCCATTATACTAGTTATGACATCTCCAATATTGATGAGCTTAAACACCACTATTTACCATATTATTTAATATAATAAAAAAAACTAAAAATGATATATATTTTCATAGATAAATAAAGAGAGAGAGAGAGAGAGAGAGAGAGAGAGAGAGAGAGATTTATACTGTTATTCAGTATATACGGTGACATCCCATCCCATGTTCTGCATAATCTGTAGCTTATATTCATAGGGCTGTCCCTTCCGGGCGATCCATACCATACAATGTAGTATAATATTCTTGTATATRTATAKATATATTCACTGTGTATTTATAGCTATTATAAGATACAATTTGATGGCATTAAAGCTATATATAATTTTTATATATTGTATATAAGGGTGTAAACAATACTATCTCTCTCTCTCTCTCTCTCTYTCTCTCTCTCTCTCTCTCTCTCTCTCTCTCTTTCGGTTCAGACGACCTATCTATCTGTTGGGTCAATAATTGGCACAAAATTGAATGAATCGCCAGAATTAATGAAATTAATCCTTTGAAAAGTGGTCTCTCGATGTCATTACATCTGCATCTGAATTACAACTCAAACATTACATATATATATATATATATATACAGTATATATGTATATAAAATAATGGCATAAATCAATAGCTTTTCTCCTATTTATTATATTATATATGTATTCAAGTATTTTCACTGTATTGATAGTGTGTCTCATTTAACTATAGTTTGTAGTTAACTGTTAACTGCATCCTATACTGTACTGTAGTATTATACTAAACATTCGTGTGGCTAACTGTGCCACTCAATACTCATATAGACAGTATTATATGTACACACACATACACACACACACACACACACACACACACACACACACACACACACACACACACACACACACACACACACACACACACACACACACACACACACACACACACACACACACACCGATAGTAACAATAAAAATGTATACAAATAATTGAAAGTGAAAAGTGAACAACAGATGCACGTGTGGGTCACACCACCGGTCACTATATGTACAGTAGTAGTAGTAGTACCCAACCCTACCAAACACCATACCATGTCATTGAAAATGTGTGCCAAAAGGGATGTATATATAACCCTCGAGCCATACCTCTCTCTCTCTCTCTCTCTCTCTCTCTCTCTCTCTCTCTCTCTCTCTCTCTCTCTCTCTCTCTCTCTCTCGAGTGGATAACGTGTTTGTAAATACCAYTCAATATAATATTTGCTAAACAACTTGAAAATATTTTTTTAAATGTAAAATTTGTTTCATATTTAATATATTTAAATGCATTCAATAAGTCATACATATGTATAGTAAACACAATATATAAAAAGTTACTGTATCAATTATTACTGTGATAGATAGATAAATTGATTTTTCTATAGATAAATAAACTAGCMACTATATATAAATTATCTAGATAAATTTAATATTTATCATTATATATATATAATAGTTAGATATCAATTATCATATATATTGTAYARTATAATATATATATATATTAATATACTGTATATAAGTATATAAAAAAATCTATTTTAAATATGTTAAGCATAAGTACAATAAGATTAGTATTATTTTTWAAAAAACAAAAATTCAATAATTTTGTTATCAATTTTTTCACTAAACAAAAGTTGAATATATATATAGTATATAAAATAAAGTAAATAATTTATTAATAATTAATATGCATTTTAGACACACACACACACACACACACAYACACTTAATATTAATATCTTTTTAACAATGATAATGATAAAATTAGACAATATTAAAAAAAAATCCTAAAAATTTAATGTAACTTTATAAACATTATACAGTATACTAATGTATGCCCACTTTCCCTATGATTGTACACAACAAAAAAAAACTAATAATAATTTTAAGTCATCATTTTTTTTATTAATGTATTTTYCMCCCCTATTCRGGCACCGGTATCTGTTCATCGATCCTATTCTCTTATCCAATAACAGTGATCTAACTATCATTTTCATCGTTTTCATCAACAGTTTCCATTAATGGCATACCCGTCCACAGATGATTGTCCGATGCTATCCTACCGGGTGGACCCCATTCAATAGCTGGTTGTTCGTGAATAGTTTCCATCAATGGCATACCCGTCCACAGATGATTGTCCGGTCCTATCTTACCTAATCGACTTTCAATAACTGGACGCCGACGCCGCCAACTACTACGTGAATCGGTTCCCTTTTGTTGCCTGTTTGACAACAAACGGGTCAGTTTGGATTGGCCCGGATCTGTCAGTCGAACAGCCGACGCTGAACCGGTTGGCTGCGGCTGTCTAGACGCCCACAATGAACCCAACTGRTCACTGGGCAGTGACGTCGRCGGACTGGTATCGGGAACACTGGCCACTCCTTCGATAAAGTCTATCAATGCGACCACCCGTTCCTGACAGTGAAACACCCGATTGGACAGCTGGCGGCAGTGGCACTGGGCTAGCTGGCGCAGGATTGGCCACTGGCGATAGTCGGGCTCTAGTCGTGACTCTAATCGGGTTCGTACGGCATTACCATATTGTTCGAGCCGTTGGTTAATAGCGACCAATTCGCTAATTGCCTGCCGGAGCTGACGTTCGCCCGACACCAGTAGCTGTCCGTCATAAACAAACCGCGATTGCTTACCAGTAATACTTAGCAAAGGCTGTGTAGCCGCTTGTCCGGTCAACCAAACTGGTTGTAGGCCACTTGTCTGACTATTGACTAGAATAATCTGTCGACCTTGTATTTGAAATCCCGGAGCCCGGTTAGACGATTGGCCAGTCATAGCTAACATACTCAACCGTATGGTTGCTCGTTGGCCATTGATGTCCAATACTTGATTGGCCGACGATCGCAAATCGACTCGATTGACCGAACCGTGTTGACCATTTCCCTGTGTATCCAATAGCTCGACCGACCATTGAGTGGCCATTGACTTCAATCGGACGTCCAATTGGTTGAGTCGCTGCTGAATACGCGACACAATTGTYACACACTCTCTGAACGATTGAAATGTATGCTCTGTATTACCACCGGTAGCCATATCTGTCTGTCTGTCTATCTATCTATCTATCTGTCTGTCTGTCTGTTCCAGTAATGTATGGATATGTTATGCAAGTTATAGGAAGATCTTATAACCTGTCTGTCTGTTTGTATGTCTGTATGTTTAGCACTGTTTGATTTATTATTTTCATATTATTTTGAAAATATTTAATTTTCATTTTTATATAAWAAAAAATAACAATTAACTAATTTATTTGATTTAATACTTAATACATGTCCACTATTATTGTTACTACTACTACTACTACAATCCCTAAACTCTACCTAACCCCTAAAAACTAACCATACAMCTAAAAACTAACCTAGCTAAAAAAATACAGATAAAATTAACCAATTTTTATCAATTAATCTGTAATATAACAACTCATATACAGTATATTAATATATAGTCTCGTGTTTTTTGTTTGTTTGTTATATAAAATTTTTTTATTAATACGAGTGCGCGCGTGAGTGATAAAATCKCACGCGTAATATAAAAATTATATCTACAAAAAAAATAAAAAGTTATTTAACGTTTATTTTTTCTTGAAATATATTTATATAATAAATGATTTTTTTAAAATAACTAACAGATATTGTGTCCATAAATTGATTAAATTGTTTTTTTTGTTGTTGTTGTTCAACTAAATTGATTGATTAGATGTGCGGTTGGTTTAGCTACCTGTGCTGTTCATATTGTTGTTGCTGTTGTAGTGGTTGTTGTGGTGGTAATGTAGAAGACGCTGAGGACATCCGAAAAAGACAAAAACGAAAACAACGTATCACTGAATTGATTAGCAAACAGATGTCGGGCGTAAACAATCGGACAACAGTGGCCGTCGATCGCCAATCAATAGTCAATGCAGCGTCGAGTCCGTCAAATCTATTGACTGCCGAACTGACCGTCATGTACGACATACCCGACAAACAGTACAGGACGGTCAACGATATTATCGATGCACACGGTTTCCAGTTGTTCAGCGATCAAGTAGTCGGATCGGGCGGTGCCGGTACTGTCTACAGGGGCCGTATGAAACAGACTAACCAATTGGTAGCTGTAAAAGTGGTCAACATTAGCGGCAAACTATACGAAAATTTGAAAACCGATGCCAAAAACGAACTGTTTGTCCTCCAGAAGACATCCCATCCATATATAGTGAAAATATATTCGCATTTTATTGTCAAAGACCGCATCCGTAACAGTATTGTCGTCTATATCTTTATGTCGTTGGCCGAGAATCGGTCGCTATCGGAATACGTACGGCGATTGGACCGCGGTATGGATGAACCGCGAGCCCGACGATTGTTTGCCCAAATAGTATCGGCATTGAGCCAAATGCATAGCCTCGGTATAGCTCATCGGGATCTGAAAATGGGTAACATATTGTTGGACTCAGATATGAATGCCGTAGTAACCGATTTTGGTCTCAGTCGAGTCGACTTTCGTAAGTCGAAAGGCGGTTTGATAATGTCGACCAAATTTATGGGTACCGTTCCCTATATGGCACCGGAAATCTTGGCTGTTAAATTGAAATTGAAAAAACTATATAACCCATTCCTGGCGGATATCTGGTCGCTGGGTATTATACTATGGCTAATAGTTAACCGACACTATCCGTTTGGCGGCGAAATAGAGACACCGAAAGGTGGTCCCGAAGAACACCAATGTTTGAAACAGGTATTAGACAGACAGCGCCGGTCCGTACAACCGATTAACCGATACGAYCCTCGTCGACAACCSCGGAGTTCAAAGATATTGTTCGCCGATTGTTTTCATACGAACCGGACAGTCGTATATCGATGGGCGAACTGTGCGCTCATCCGTGGATTAGGYCCGAAATGGACACAATTAAGTCGAAATTTGGTCAACAAGTTATCAATAAGTTTTTCAATTAATTAATTAATTACTTTTATTATATATATATAAAGATTACACAAAAATATTCTGTATGTGTGTGTATTATTTATGTATTAATTTTTATTTAAAACATTTATATATAATTTATTTTATTGTTTAAATATATTTATATAATATAAATTTGATATATTAGTTAAATTAAAATATTTAAATAATTAAAATTAATTGAATATTTTATTTAGAAGTTTACAAAAAATAAAAATCAAATTAAAAATTGTTTAATAGTTTACTAAAAATCTGTGACATCTGTTGTGTTAATAATAAAATTATTTTATTATTTAACAAAAAATTTAATTTCTAACTCTATAGATGGCATATACTCTATGTTTTTTTGGGGTGCTGTTGAAAACATTTTAGTCCACAAAATTGTTTGACACCTCCTCCCCCACCCCTTGAACCACACTCTGGGGGGGTCGGTTGGATTAAAATTGGTCAAATTTAGGTTATTTAAAAAAAATAATTACAATTTAATAATTAATTAAAATTAATCATTTGTTTGTTGTTGTAATTATATGTTAACTCTAGAAACAAAAAAGTTATATAATTAAATCAACGATTGAAAAAAATAATATTATATTTTCAAAAAATAATTTTTTTTACCATTTTTATCATTAGATATTAAATTTGTGAAATTTGTTTTAATATCCAGTTATATACAGTATAGTAGTTTTGCAAATAAAAAATTTCTAAAACATTAAATTCTACTTGGTCAATTTACGAAATATAGATGGCATATGGATATATGCCAGGGTATAATTTTTAAATTATACTGTATATAAATTTATCATACATTACTAACTCAATTAAAAAAAATACTAATTAATTGTAATTTAAATTTTTAAAAAATTTTGTTGTTGTTGTAAATTTTAATAATATTCATATAGATTTATATATTTATCAATATTATGTCTATGTGTTTGCTTGTTATGGAAAAATAAATACATATTACATGTATTATGTTATCAATTATATTAATATTAATTATTAATTTATTTAAAAAAATTGTTACATTAAAAAAACAAAATTATTATAAGTAAATAAAATCCAATTTATTAACTTTAAAATTTTGACATATTTTTAAATATTTAATATAAAAAATTACAAATACAATACAATTATTGTTAATATTTTTATAATTATAAGTTATATAGATTTTATCTAAAATTATATTAGTTGTAAAATTTATAATATAAAATATTGATTTTTAAATCATAAAAATTATATAAAAAATAACTGAAAAAATATCATTTAATTTGTATATTGATGTCCCAATTAAGTTATGTGACTGTATAAAATATAATTGTTATATAAGTAAATAACTGCTTGGATACCCCCTCCTCTCTCTCTCTCTCTCTCTCTCTTATTATTATTATTAGTATTATTATTAACCTTTTTATTTGGTGCTCATCCACCGTCACTATAATCAGCTATCAATAAGTATATAAAAAAGTCAATGCATGATATGTTATGGTGCGGTGCGGGTGTTTGGGTGGGTATGTACTGTATGTATGTATGTGTTGTGTGTGTGGTCGGCATATCTATCGGTAATTTACTAATAATATAAGAGATATAACTACCATATCATCGACACGAGTCAATAGTGTTGTTGTTTAGATAGTTTTCTTAACAAAAATTTATTGACAACTCCTTAAAAAAAAACTATTGTAAAACATTTTTTTTAAATTTAGTAAAAAACAATATATTTTTTATACAACAAAATAAAATAAAAACAAAATTTTGGCCAATTTGTCAAAATTTTTTATCATATATATATATATATATATATACAGTCGATGACAAAATGATATATATCTTTAGAATATGAACTAGAACAAAAAATATTTTTTGCTATATTTATTGGGACGGTCAGTTTGGTATTGCCACTTTTTTTGTAATTGGGCACAGGTATTATGGTCAATATCTCGAAAACTATAATAGATATTAAAGTTTTATAAATTGCTAATTATACTATCTGATAATATTGGACACGTGTTTTGGCATTTTTAATTTTATTGCAAAGTATTCGAACAAAATTAATTTTTTTGTTGCAAAAATCAAAATTTAAGAGACCATATCTTTTAAATGCATCGATATATCATGATTTAGTTAATTGATTTAAATTCTATATTTTAGTACTAACAATCATCTATACATTAAATTTAGTTAGCTTGTTTAGTTTTTTAAATATTTGTAAATTAATTTTTTTCTATTGTAATTAAGTACTAATTATTGTCTTCTATTACATAACATTGATAACAAAATCTATAAATAATTACAATAGAAAAAAATTAATTTACAAATATTTAAAAAACTAAACAAGCTAACTAAATTTAATGTATAGATGAATTGTTAGTACTAAAATATAGAATTTAAATCAATTAACTAAATCATGATATAATGATGCGTTTAAAAGATATATTTTGATGCAACAAAAAAATTAATTTTGTTCGAATATATAAAATAAAAATGCCAAAACACGTGTCCAATATTATCAGATTTAGTATAATTAGCAATTTATAAAACTTTAATATCTATTATAGTTTTCGAGATATTGACCATCCCTGTCCTTGCATACCTGTGCCCAATTACAAAAAAAGTGGCAATACTGACCGTCCCAATAAATAATAGTATAGTTCATTTCCATTCTAAAGATATACACAAAAAACCTCGTTATATATATATATATATATATTTAGATATTTGTTATTAAATTAGTTTAGATTTAATATATTATGTAATATGTTGATGTAGCTAATAATAATAATAATAATATTTTTTTATTACTGTTAATATATCAGTATATTGATGCTTGTTTTGACATAATAGACTCAAATATTATAGTAATTATCTAATATTAGTGTCTATTTTGTGTATAATAGATGTTAAGTTTTAGTTTTTTTTTAAATTTTAATACTAAGATATACTTATACTACATATATACTAAATGCTAAAAGCAATTAATGTAAAAAAATAGCGGATAAGCTTTGATATATAAAAAAAACGCCCCTATTATAGGTATGTCTATCTATTCAATGGGAGATATATACCGGTAAATGTATTGATTAGTGTATTATTCAATAAATGGCCCAAATATGTCAAAAGTGTCCATCAATTTACAGTTATTTTTTGTTGTTGAATGAATATACTATATATACACTATATATTGTAGTTATAGACATATTGTTGTAAAGTTATAATCAATTTATTTTTAAGATTAATTTTTTTTAATTAGTTGTCTAATAGCTATTCTATTGTATTAATAATTTTTTTTAAGAAATTTATTTATTAAAAATAATATTTTACAATAAGAGAATTGAATTAAATACTATATATATAACAATATATTTATTATTTTATTTTTATACAATACTAAATAACATAATAATAGTAATAATAGTTTTAATTCAAAAGTTTTTTTTATCGCTTAAGTTAACTATTAGTATATATACTGCTGAATAAATTGTATATATATTGCAACAATTGTTTTGGGATTAGTTTTATTTCTCTATCTATTTGTTTACTTATAGTTAAAAATAATAACAGTTTAGTAGTGGAAAAAAATATTTTTCATATCTTTATATATACAGTATATGTGTCTCATATGTGTCTATGAGTTATAAGTTATAACTGTTTAGACTATTGCATAGGATATTAATATCTCATTTGCACTCATAGTGTGCGCTCAGAGTGTGAGTGAAAAAAACACATATATTAAGTGATAAACACTATATAATTGTATTTTACTTATATTTGGTGCCGAAATGTTTTTAAAAATAAAATAATAGTAAACACTTGAGATAAACGTTTTTACAAATGTATAGTAAAAACTTTGAACAAAAAAATTATCCAAAAAATTAGTGTCAAATATGAGTAAATGCATTGAAATGTATGATAGATTACAAATCAAATGACTTATGGATTGTTATATATCTATATATATTGAAAACAGTGGGAAATCAGTTGTTATACTGTATTGAGTATTGCATTGGAAAAAAATAATCAGTCATTTCATATATATATATATATGGGAGACAAAAATTATAGTAATCATAGACTTAAAGATACGTTTAAAAAAAAGTGTGAAAATTGTATCAAATATATAGACAACAAATAGATGAAGATATAGTATATTTTGAAGCATTAATTAGTTAACAACAAAAAAATGTTTAAAGAGTTAAATACTTGTTAAATACTGTTACTAATAATAATAGTTAACAAATTTTTTTTGTATTTTTGCATCATTTTTAACAATGATATATCAATCTAATGACAAAAGTCTAAAAATATATATATTTTTTAATGTTTTCAAAAGCCTTTCGGCTTTTAAAAACACTTTTTTTCGTTGATTTCTTTCAGTTTTTACTTGTATTTTACTATTGGTTGACTGATAAATGACTGCTAGTCATGGTGTGTACTGAGAGCACAGGTAGCTCTTAAAAATTAAATAACATACACACGCAGTGAAAGAGAGAGAGAGAGAGAGAGAGAGAGAGAAAGTGATAGAAAAGATATACTATAATATAGAGTACATAGACTTATATATATACAGTATATAGTCTTTACCGCACTTTTATCGTACGGCTCAGCGCTTACCTCACAGAGTCTATGGCCTAACATCTGGAGACTGTATTCATCCGACAGAGACAGCCATATATATACTGAGGCACGCGTTCAACACAATCAGGTCCTCACTTAACATGAATTTCTAATTTATACCGAAAAATAATAATCATCTAATAATAAACTATTTCTTTAATAATGGCTTCARTCTTATTGGATGCAAAATACTAGACAACACACACACACACACACACATAAAATACCAATACATACATACAGTATAAACCAACACCTTTTTTTCGGCCAACAATACCACACCAAATATCACCCATTGTTTACAATTACACACAAATCTATATATATTGTATGCAACTATTCATTCACAGCTTATATGACTATTATGTGTGAATTGCAATATTATA